CCCGTGAATGTATCTCATCAGGTCCCATGGACTTGTGCACCTTCAGGTCCTCTAGGTGTTCCCGGACCTGATCTACTCCTACCCTGGGTGGTTCTTCACTCTCCCAGACCCAGCCAATATCCTCTGTGATTTGGGTGGTGTGGTTCGAGTGGTTGCCAGTGAAGACTGAGGCAAAAAAGTTGTTGAAAATTTCAGCCTTCTCCATGTCTTCAGCAACCAGGTCACCCGCATCTTTCTGGAGGGGCCCCACATTCTCTCTTTTTTTTTTTTCTCTAACATACCTATAAAATCCTTTTCTGTTATTTCTAATACCGCTGGCCAGATTTGACTCTGTCAGGGCCTTAGCTTTTCTAACCTGGTCTCTGAGTACATGAGCAACTTCCTTGTACTTATCCCAGGTTACTAGTCCCTGCTTCCATGCTTTGTGTAATCCCCTTTTGTTTTTGATTTTAGCCAGGAGTTCTTTGTTTATCCATATAGGTCTCCTGGTGTTTTTGCCTAATTTCTTCCTTTTAGGTATGCAATGCCTTTGAGCTTGGAGGAGATGATCCTTGAAAGTCAACCAGCAATCTTGGGCTCCCAGTCCTTCCAGGACTTTATCCCATGGCACAAGGAAGGTGGAAGGACGGTGACTGAATGTATGGATGTGTAGGGTGAACAAATCCCAACCAGAACGATTCTGGAGGGATTTGTCTGAATGCCAAACAGAGACTGATATTGCAAACTTATTGGAGGGCAAAGTGAGTTCCTTAGCAATAAGTAAGGGATGATCTGGGGATGGGCAATGAAAGGCCTTGAAAATAGACATCGTTAGTTCATCTGATGTGACAGAGAGCAAAGGAAGGATTTAAACAGATAGGAACACCTGGTCAGAGCATTGGGTTAATGCAATGATGGTTGCAACAGTATTCTGAGCTCTGCAGTTATTCATGAAAGTTGTAGAAAAAGATGCTGTAATGGTGGCACCACTAGAACTGACAATCTGGGTCTAGCTGTACAAACAGCCTAACAAGACTAAACTTTAGAGATACAAGAGACCGAAAGTCTCCACCCTATTGTGTGTCTCTAGAAAATCAGTTCTAAATTACTTGTTCTAAAATCAAGGCCTTTGAAGGTCATCCTTATTATTATAGTAAACCCTGTCCACTGCTGCAGAACTTAGAAAAGAGATGAGAACTGGGGCCCTATTGCATTAGCTGCTGTACAGGTATAAAATAGTATGGAGATCTTTAATGGTAATTTATTTTCCCCATTGCTATTTAGTTTTTCTTACAGTTTGTGAGGGAAACTGTTGGGGTGGGATGAGGAAGTCAAGGAGGGGAGAGGGACAGAAAAAATGAGAAGAAAGATGGAAGACACATCCAATGGACAGAAGTGCAGGAGAACAGATGAAGATATTATGTGACTATAGGGATGGTGAGTCTGAAAGAATTGGCACAGAGGAAAGAATTCCTTTTCAGAGCAAAGAAAACACCCCAGTGAGCTCAAGTGGGACTGTGGGCCTTTGCTTTCACTGCTTATGCAGCTGCTTCTTCCAGCTTGAGTGGGTTGACTCCTCCCTTGTTATTCCCTTGTGCTGACTGTAGAGCATATCTGAATAGCAAAGAGATTTGCAATTAAGAAAAATGCTTCAGAGAGCTAAAAAAGCTCTCATTTTTGCTGAATGTATATTTTGTTGCATCTTTTTTCTCTTTTTTTAAGCCATTCAATTAACAATTAATAATTTTCAGGGTGGTCATCTGCTTTTACCAAGCACTGAGGTTTGATCTCTACGTCTTCTAGCTAGCAAATAAGGAGACAAGGAGCGTGATTTGTCACTGCTAAGAAAGCTGTTGCCTGGGTACCTTCATAGTTCTGCACTGCTGAAAGGGAATGACCTAAAAAAAACAGGGAAGCATTTGTAAGCAAATGCTTCAATTTTCACCTGAGAGATCTCAACTATGCCTCTGCTCTGTCCATCCTTTCCTCATTTTGTGCATCAGACCTGGGCAGGAAAGGCTGGGGGGTAGCAGATGGGAGGCTGACTGTTGCTCGGCTTGGAAAGCAGCTCCTAACATTTGGCTCACACCTGTCAGCAGACTCCGTATACACTTGTTTATCCTCCTCTGTACCATATGTTTCCATGTAAAATCAGTTCCCATGATCTATTGCCTTATTTCTATCGCTCCTATTATGGTCGTAACTGAGCATTTCACAGTCGTTAATGCATTTACCCTGACAGCGTCCCTGTTGTGTAGGCATTTAATATCACCCACTTTACAGATGGGTTAGCTGAAGCTCAGATCAACAGCTTCTCAAAAGTCTTGTTGAAATAAATGGGAAGGAAGCACATCTCCAGGAGATGTGAGTTTGGGAAAGCAAACTACATGCTCATTTTCTCCCAAAGAATTTGTGGAGAAGTGAGGAATCCGTCTTTTGGGTCATACATGGGTGCTTAAAGTGCTGGACCATTCTTGATTTTTTGACACAGAGCTGTTCTCTGCCTTTGTAAGACTCAGGAAACCTGTGGTTGCTGGTGTCCAATCTTTCTACACACTTTGCCAGTAAACCCCTATCTCACAACTTTTCTTGTCCTCACCAAGGCCTGGAAGAGATGCTGTCCTTGGCAGAAGATTTAGTTAAAGAGTTAGTTAAAAGCTCATTAGTCCAATGTAGTGATAGCATTTAGCTCAAAAGTGTTCTGCCCAAATGAGAAAATTTGATAAGGACCAAAAAAAGTGCTTCTGCTGCTGTGGAGACCATTTCTCCCATTTCCTCTATTCTTTGTATTCTTGCTTGCCTCTCAGAAAAGAACTTCTTCACAGCCCTTTAGATTTAAAGTCTATGTAGGAGAGGAATATGGTTTTTAAAAATGTTCTGTACGTACCTATCAATCACTTACTTATTAATTATAACTAAAAGCATGATTAATCTGTCATGGATAAGGCTGCTAAGTAACCCTAATCATGCTAATGCATTTCTGTCACTTATACAAAAGGCAGCATTATTATCGGTTTTTGCATCCGTGTGTACTAAAGCCCATACACACAGCAGCTGCAGAGCACTAGTAACGTTCCTTCTGTCACAGATGGGATGAAATTGCATCATGGATATCTGTATTGCCCCCACAGTGCCTGTGCAGTGATTTATTTCCTCAACACTAGCAGGATTTAATGATGTTATCTTTTGCAAATAATTTTGCTTTCTAAACTGGATAACAACTACAGTTATGAATTTTTTTTCCAGGGGCTCATAATGATTTTGGCTGCAATTCCTCTGTGTGAGGGGTTAGCATGAAGACCAACATGCAACTTAACCCCTGCAGTGAGTGGGAGCTAAGAGATGCGTAGGTCTTACACAAGTGTGTTTTTTTTTTTTTAAGGAGAATTATTATTTTGATATTGCAGAGCATAACGCTTTGTCTTCTGTGTCCTTCTTCTCTGAATATTTGATTGACCCATTTTTTAGTAGCCTGGATGTTGGAAAGTTAATTTTCAGGTGCTGAACTCAAAATTTGTAACCACACCTGAAACCCTCGTGTATCCATCCTGTCAAACAGTTAATGAGTGGATATGCTAAATCACAGCTAAGCTACACTGTTTAACTTTTAAAAAATGTTCTGAAGAAAAGCTTTTCACACAAAAAAATTTCAAAACCGACACCTCCAGAAGGCTAATTATACCTTACAGTATTAGGAGGAGAAGAGAGGTGGGTCACCCTTTGAAGGAACCGTTCCACTGATGCCTGGGTGACCTGCTTAGTTTTGATGCCTTATTTCTGGATGCGTAAAGTATGAAGAATACATCCATTAGCCTCATTAAATATATAAACTGAGGAGAAAAAGCCTCACTTCAAATTAGTCTTTTTACACCTACTATCTTTTTGGTTAAATAAGATAAATTTTTATATAAGAATTTTGCTGAGAACTGCCTGAAACTGAAGAACTTCACTGCAAGATGATGTCTGCAAGACGTAATCTGCATCTCTCTGGTGCTGCATGCCTCAGTGACCCAAATAAAGAAATCATTTTGATTTTCATCTGAATAACCACCTTGCTGCATGCAGACAGGGTCTCAGTCAATAGGTTTCTGAGCATACAAATTTATGAAAGAGTCCCCAAAGTTTGCACAGGGTCATAGTTTTTTTGTTCTAAGCATTGAGTAGCTAAGTCACGGTCGGTGCATGATGGGAAAGTAGAGGTAGATTGGTAAGAAAACATAAACTGCTCCAGAACAAGCATTGCTTTGTGGCTTTTACAGTCCTTCGCTGAGCTAACTTTCTTTTGTATTGCTCTTTCATCATCACAGTTTGGTGTAACGCAGTCCACAGGAAATTTTTTGTAGCCATTAGCATGCACTATATAGTGACACAGAAAATTTTAAGGTCACTGTTAAATCTTGGAATGCTGTCCTTAGTGTAGCAATTTCACTCTCTTTTTGCAAAACTGTGCTCCCCTACCCTTTCTGATTAATAAACATGATATCCTTCTGTTTGCTTTCCTTTCATTCTGCACAGCTGTACTTTTCTCTTTCATCAACAGACAGTCACAATTCTGTTTGTCACACTGAAATATGAATTTTTTTCTTCTTTATTTATGAATAGCACACTCGGATTTTCCTTATGGAATAGAAATTAAAACAGCACTGACATTTAGAATGTAAAGGAATTGCTCCAACTGATTATAGTTGTGTTAAAATGAGTCACGCACTTTTGGTCCAAACTTCCTGACATGCACATCCATATATACTAATCACTATGACATCATTGAAGAACTATTTTTACCTTGGTAATAAAAGCTGAATGCATTTGTCAACTTGTCAAATTATATTTAATCCAGTGAACATACAGACAGGTTAGGAAAGACACTTGCTCTCAAATAATAGCAGAGCTCAATTCTACATGTCTGAAAATGCTGTGCATGTAAAGGCATATAAAATATTTGCAGTTTTGAAATGTAGGTGAAAAAAACACACTGTAAAAACATAAAATAAATTAGGTTTACTAAGAAGAATTAAACTCACCTGTCAACAAATGCATGGTGTAGTACAAAGATAGGATCATTTGCAGAGCCTTGCACTTGGGACATGGAGCCGTTCATGTAGATGTGAAGTGCATTATGCAAACCGCTTTGAGATATGTTTGATATTGCAGTCCGTGGATCAGCAAAGCCTGTATGTTCAAGAGGAAATCATATCCTGACACGACAATGCGTATAATTCTTATTTCCAGTAAGACTGAAGATCAAAGTACCTACTTTCACTTCATTTACGCTCAGCTTTTTAGACAAGGGCTTAGGAAAACACGTAAAAGAGTGCTAATATATTTCAAAGGCATAGCAAAGATGAAATTAGAATAAGCTAAATTAAAACTCCTGCCATGTAGCTAATGCAGCGTGTCAGCAAATGTACTGCTTAATTGCTTTATATTTTTAAATTTCTTTGTCCATTGTGTCTGGCTGTTAAAAGGCAACGTAATCCCTGCAGACATTTATGTGTGTACATTTATTCATGCTGAGAAAATTTATTCACTTTATTTTCATTTTTAATCTCTATATTTATAGGTTCCTAATATAAAATAGGCTATTTTATCTCTTCATATACTCAGTCATTTAATATTGTTTGTCTCCATAGAAAACATTCTTTTATTGATAGAAGCCAGCAAAATACAAGCTATAATCTTTACAAAAGGATTTGGTAAATAATCAATAATCTTCCACAGTTAGACTTGCAGGATGAAAGCCTGTGGCTTGCTATTGTTTTGGAGGGCACTTAAAATATAGACTTTGAGAAGAGGTCACACAGATCAGCCCCCAAATAGGAAATACTGGAAGATGAGTCCATTAGTTTTTATTTTGGTAGGCTGTCCATACCTCAGCTCTGATGTTGGTAGCCCTTCTTCGCATCCTGACAGCCAAGCTTCCTCCCTGTTTGTAAGGACTCCTAATAAAAGTCAGCTCAGTCACCTGATCCTTCTCTGGGTTTTTCCAGGAGGATAAAAGCAGAAACATATGTTGTCCTCCCAATCTGTTTATTAACCTGATACTAGTTCTACTATTTAATCCAGACTACAAAACCTCTCTGTTCTCTCTCTCTGATTTGGTTCCTGAAGATGTCTTGTTCTCACAGTTTCTGTGAGCTGTAGGATGAAGAAGCGTAGTGGAGACATATTAAAACATCTTTACAATTTAATAATCAAATAAAAAGGTCTGTGAACAATATGCTTGTTGTGCTGATCCTCAGTGTTTTCCCAATATTGTTGCAGTTTATCAGGTCTACAAGGTGGGGAAAAGAAAGATTTTAGTTCTTCTCACTGGGAAATGCCTCACGCACTTTGAACACTTGCTTCACTTATTTACTTGGACCAAGAACTAGCATTTGAATGAGGATCAGCAATATACTTTTGAAGTGAATCTCCCAGCAGTCCTTTTGTTTCATGCTGTGACTCACATTATAGGGCATTTTCTGACTTTGCAAGCTGGATTCCTTTTGGAGGAAATCTAAAATATGCCAGTCATCAATGGGTGTTCAGTTCATGGGACTGAACTAGAGCTAGTGTGAAAAAAATCCCTTCCTTGTCAAAATCCTCGTGTTGGGTTCTCAGTACCAACTGTTTTGTTCCTTGGATTTGCTTTGGACACCCTTTTTGGGTGTCACAAAATATTAGTTGATATGTGGCTAGAGATGCCTTATGAGTAGAGTTATACTCTGTGAACTTGGAAACCTGAGTTTTAGACCCCACTGGAACTCTCATCTTCTGTGTGAAACGATTGCATCATACTGTCACTCTAAATTCCCTTATCGGGCTTTGTCTTGTCTGTTAACCTCTTTAAGCAAGGGAAAAACATCTGGCATAAAACCACTGATAGTTATAATAAGGATCAAATCATAGTTGTGACATCTAGGAACCAATACACCATAACCATCCATCTTTCTCATTGTAGCAGTATGACAAAGATTTTTGAGAAATTCAAGGGAAGTCAGAGTAGAAAACATAATTAGGACAGATGGAGGAGATAGAGTTGGCTTACAAAAATTGTAAGTCTTAAAGGTGGAGTGAGTCTGGATTTAGGAGAGAAAGAACGTGTTATCGCCTACAGATAACTGCAGGTGCTAAGTACATCAGATGTGGACTGGGATTATTGAAGACATTGCATGGTGACATAAATAACAATGGGCAGAAGTTCTCAAAGGGAAAAACTTGCCCACAGAAATTTGCCTGATGGTTAATGCTGTGTTACTTAGCTGTTGATCAGGGGAAACAGGAGAATAAAATATTGTCTATGAAGAATGGGGTATGTTAACAGTCTGGCCAGAAGTCACTGGAACTGGTGGCAACAACTTTGGCCGCCTTTGCTGATGGCTGCAGAGCATGATCATTGGGATCAGCTGATGTAGCAACACTAGGAAACTTCTGCGAATATGACCTGAAAATGATCTGTTTATCAGTCTGAAGTAACTCTTCCACTTATATTCAGCTGCATTATAAGTATGTTTAAAGGAGAAAAACTTTATGCAGAGTCTGGGCAGAAGGCTAGATGTTTTCTATCCAGCTTGGGATACGTCTTAAAATTTCTTAATGCATTGCAAACGCTTGATCTAATCATTCATAAAAAAATATACAGAATACTCATTTTGGCTCTGGACAGCTTTTCATGGAACATCTGTACACGAGAAATTTATCTTAATAATCGAAAGCTCTGTAACTGGGACAGCTTTAGCAATCTCACCCTCCACCTCCCAGTTAATTGGGGCGCATTCCGTCAGTGTCAAAGGTGACATCAAATTTAACCATGTGCATGTGAAAGTCTAATATCTGATTTCTTGTACTGAAAACCCCATATAAATTGTAAAGTTGGCAGGTATAAAACCACAACGTGGTGTCACTTTATTTTATAAGCCTGGGTCTTATTCTTTTCTCTCAGACTTTTCAAAAGACTTCAGTACAACCAGCTATTCAGGGTGACATACTATGAAATGAGGTAGAACCAATTAAAAAGGATATGTCAAAACATGATAATTTTTTCAGACTACAGGAAACTTTGTTGAGGTGTCTGCAGCTAAATCACCTCTACAGTAAATGTGAGGTTACAGACCTACAAGCACAGTAAGCTGAAGTAAGAGCTCCCTGCTCCTCGGTACGGGAACTCCACCTCCTCCACCTGCTTTGCCCCATGCTGTACCTTCCTCTCTGATGCATTAGCTGCACCTCGTCAGTCCTCTGTGAGCTGATTTAACTCACAAGTCTGGCAGTAAATTACTCTGGTGTGCGGGATGTCAGTTTTTTCCAGGCTGCTGAGATACAGTATTTCACAGAAGGGTACGATGAGAACCAGTCTTGGTACCGAAAAAGGAGGGAGAGCGACTGACTGTTGGATGGAGATCACATAGAGAAACAGGACTGTCCCCGATGGCAGTGAGCTGTTAAATCATTTGGATAGTATAGGAAGCTGTAGCTGTCAGACATCCTTTTAAAACCTCGTTTAATTACGGTGCATTAGAAATAGCCATTAGGGCATACGTCACGGAAGTGAATGGAAGCTTTACCAGCTGTTTCAATAAGAGAAAAATCACATCTTTAGGAGATCATAAACCTGACTCTGCTCTTGCTCGTAGCGCTGTAAATCAGCAACAGTGATTCAGTGGGTTTGAAGCAGCTTCACTGGAGCCAGGCTAAATTAACTCGGATGGGGATTTAGCCCAAAGTTTATTATAGGGGGAGCTAATGATGGCACTCAAAATTAAGGCTTCCTGACAGTTTTTAGGATAATGTATAGGTGGTTGCCATTGAACACGCAGTTGGGTCAGGTTTATGTCTTTTAATAGAGTACTTAATTGTATTAATCACATACTTTGCAATCTAATAACAGAGACCACAGAGGTTCTTGTACAATCAGTCAAGTGCAAAGCTTTATATATTGAAAGCAGGTACTGTTTTCCTCAGTTGCTCATTTGACACTGACTGAAGTGCTGTAAGTATGGTTAGCAGATGGTACCCAGAGCTTGGAGAGTATTAGCAGTGTTCAGTGCTACAGGAACAGAGGAACTATTCCAACAATCCTATCTCCTCTGATTATCTTAGTGGACTGCTTCACATCTGTGGCATCCCTAGCATCACTGAACTATTCATAACAGTTTTGTAGGTGGGGTTTTTTTGACTGCAAACTGTTTTTCTTACAAAATAAATTTTGGTTTTATCTGATTTTCTAGGCCAGTGGTTAGGACAGCCTAGACTTTAAAAGTCAAATTCTGTATTGTGTGTTGCATGTTGAGGAGATCAAGTGCACCCTGAGGGGATTGAGTGCACCCTCAGTAAGTTTGCAGCTGACACAAAGTTGGGTGGGAGTGTTGATCTGCTTGAGGGTAGGAAGGCTCTACAGAAGGATCTGGACAGCCTGGAGTGACGGGCTGAGACCAATTGTATGAGATTCAACAAGACCGAGCGCCGAGTCCTGCACTTGGGTCACAACAATCCCATGCAATGATACAGGCTTGGGCAACAGTGGCTGGAAAGCTGTCTGGTGGAAAAGGACCTGGGGCTGCTTGTGGACAGCCAGCCAAGTATGAACTGGTAGTGTGCCCAGGTGGCCAAGAAGGCCAATAGCATCCTGGCTTGTTACAGAAATAGCGTGGCCAGCAGGACCAGGGAAGTGATTGTCCCCCTGTACTTGGCACTGGCGAGTCCACACCTCGAATACTGTGTTCAGTTTTGGGCCCCTCACTACAAGAAGGACATTGAGGTGCTGGAGCATGTTCAAAGAAGGGCAGCAAAGCTGGTGAAGAGTCTAGAGCACAAGCCTTATGAAGAGCAGCTGAGAGAACTGGGATTGTTTACCCCGGAGAAAAGGAGCCTGAAGGGAGACCTTATAGCTCTCTACAACTACCTGAAAGGAGGTTGTGGCAAGGCAGGTGTCAGTCTCTTTTCCAAAGTAAAAAGTGATAGGAAGAAACAGCTTCAAGTTGTGCCAGGGGAGGTTTATGTTGGATATTAGGGGAAATTTATTCACCAAACGTGTTGTCAAGCATAGGAACAAGCTGCCAAGGGAAATGGTTCAGTCACCATCCCTGAAGATATTTAAAAGATGTGGTGCTTAGGGACATGGTTTAGTGGTGGACCTGTCAGTGTCAGGTTTATGGTTGGACTCTGTGATATTAAGGGCCTTTTCCAACCTA